TTATCTTTAAAAGAAAAAAAAAGAAAAAAAATTGAGCTACAACTTGTATGTAAAGCTATTATCATATTTCTGTGCAGTGCTAGTATGTGGGATCCTGTAATGAATAATATAGTCCCTTGCTTTCAAAACAGCTAATAGACTTTTACTGAAAGAGTGAATTATTTATCTTTAGTAAATTGAAATATGTTTTAAATCTAAAAAAATAAATAAATAAACTGTCAATCTGAATGTACACCCGGTTTTCTTCCCAATATTTCTCTCAATGTCAAAGATGATCAAAGTATATTGCAGCATCTGATGAGGAAATTGTATCAAGCTCTGTGTAGACCTGTGACAGTGCCATTAAGTAAATACTTTGGTGGGGGAAGGAAGTAAACTACAACTCAGGTAACAAAACCACAGAATTTTCCTAGCTCTCAATAAATGCAAGTAATGTGTCCACAAGTCAACATCACTTACCTAAGCCATATGAATGAAGAAGGTGGGAATTTAGGATAATTCTACTCAATTTTGCCCCATCCGATCCTCCCTTAGAATGTTGTATATCGTGCTTATCCCTAGGTCAGGCCAGTGTTTTAACACTTGCTGCACGATGAATGGTAATGCAACAAATATCCCAAGAACATCCCCTGGGAGAAAGAGTGATCATTCTCCTAGCCTGTGCTAAAGATCACCTATGACTTTTGTAATGGTTAGCATTCTTTAGAGGAATAAAATCAACAGAGCACATATATACACTTGATTTATTCTGTCCTACAGGAGCAGATGATGAATAGCCTGCAATGATCATCAACATGCACGTGTTGGACAGCCAGGGGACTCAGTAGCTGCTCAGCCTGAGAAGGTAGAAACATCAGAACAAGAGTGATCAAAAGTGCAGTATCAGTTCAAGGCAGAAAGGTTGGATGTTCTGTGTAGACTCGCCCTGTACTGGTGCAATTGAAAGACTGAAGATGCTAAAATCTGATGTGCACAGGTGAAGGCAGCAGCAAAAGACACACCTGACCGAGAAAAATTCAGCTTTATGGTACAGGCCAAGTCCTCTTTGTTTTCCATTTGATTCTGCCCAGGCTGAGGCTTATTGCCTGGTGCCAGCCACAGTCAGGGCAGGTGTTCCTCTCTTAGTTTGGGGACCTGCATGGCACTCATCTCTGGAAACACTCCCACAGACACACCCACCCACAATCTCCAACATCTTTTTTACTGCAGTCAAATAGACAATCAAGAATAAGGATCCTAGTTCCCCAAACACGGTGAACAGAGAGACATCTCTACCTTTTAGGATCCATTTTTATTTTTGACTGACAATATTGTTAGTCACTTGAAGTTTACTCTACCCGCTTTAAACATTTTGACATCGAGTCTAGAGTTACAGTGAAAATTATATGGAATATATTTTAGCTGATATGAATTCTACAATAATAGTTGTAAAATAATGTAGGTTGAAGTCAACTGGTAAGCTTAGAAAACGTTGTCCTTTGGGACCCCACACAAATATTCTGATTCAGTGAGTCTGGAATGTGTCCCAGATCTGCATATTGACAGATCTCACTCCTCTCCCCATTATGAGTCAGGTGATCTTGATAATACACTATGAAGAAAAAAGCAAATTAAAGTAGGCCAACCACAAAAATAATACCATTTCTAAAATTTATAAGTGATTTTCTAAAATAAAATATTGATTCAAAAATCTTTACAAAATATGTTACAGCTAGTCATGATGGGAAAGAAGACACATGCACACACTCACCGTAATCCTGTTTGATGTCACTTTGCGAATGCAGGTTTTCATTTCAGTTCATTCCTTTGTTTACCTTGAGAAGCTTCTTTCCAGCTATACAAAAACAAAACAAAAATCATTAAAAAAACATTTTGCTTTGTTTTTATCTCAGTAAAAATAAAAAGAGTTTCTACAATGTGGAAAATCCACCTAAAGATTTTCATTTGTTTTTATTAGTATGTCTCTGCAGTAGGTAAAGAGCACATTCTTCAGGAGGAATCCGTGATTCTTTCTCATCCCCTTCCTCCTTCTCCCCGCCCCCCCACCTCCCTCCATCTCATGGTCCTATTCCCTTTTGCAGAAGCTCCATCTCCCTACTTCCTATTATCTGTATTTTGCTCTTTATTTATATTTTGAGCTTCTCATGTAAGATAAACTATGCAGTATTTCAGGTGTGTGTCTGATTTATAAAGTTAAGCTCTCAAGGTACCTCCATTTTCCTATAAATGTTTCAAGTTCTCCTTCTTTATGCCAGAGTAGTACTTGTCTATTCACTGGAAGATGGACAATTCAAAGAAGGCATTTTGGATATTTCCAATTTGAAATAGCAAACATAAGAGAGGAGAGGAAAAGAACAGTTTTGATTAAGGCTTTCCATTGTCTTTTATATGTGAAGTAGTTCATTTTCTCTTCCTGTGCTTGAAAATGTGCAGAAATGTTTGATGGGATTTTCTCTTGAGTCTAGTCTTGGATACTCTTATGAGTTGAGAGAGTCACTGCTCAATGAGATGGCTTTGGTGGTGCTCCAAATTCAAAAAGTAATATCAAACATGAGTAAAGGTTTAGGAAGTAGGACGTATGTAACAGAAAAAAAGGAAATTTTGCTTTAGAAGGCATAAATGTGAGGCACCACAATTCTCTGAACAATATCAAAGGCAAGATATAGAGTACTTGTCCCTTGTTTTTTAGTCTACAATAAAGACAGGAGAGGAAATGGGTGAAGTTGAATATTTATTTTGAAATAAGAAACAAATTTTTAAGATTTATCTTAAGTTCCTATCATCTTGTTTTGAAAGTCTATATTGTATTTGTTTTTGTGTCATTTCATTTTTGTCTTTGTTATTTTGTTTCTGCTCTTTTTCCTTTAAAATGAAATTTTAAAAAAAGAAAACATGTCCAACAAATACAATAATTTATGTTGCTGTTTTTTGAAAATATGTGTGTTTTACAATAAGATTTTTAAATTGGACTCTTTATGATCCGTTTTGGTGCCGTCACATATAATGGGAAGGCACATCATAAGCTGCATTTTATACCTACCACTTCATAAATTTAAATTTGAGTGCATATTTTATGTTCCCTGGATACTTTTCAACTATGTGATGAGAGGTCCACATTAGACACAATTTCTTCCCATGTTTTCCATATTTCATACCCATGTCTATAGCAGCCTAATTTGTTTGTTTGTTTGTTTTTGTTTTTCTTCCAGTACCAGGAATCGAACTCATGACTTTGCACTTGCCAGGCAGGCGCTGTGCCACTGAGCAAAATCCTCAGTCCCTATAGCAGCCTAATTTATAAGGGCTAATCTTTGGAAATGGCTTGCATGCCCATGAATGGATAAAGATGATGAAAAGATGACACAGCTCCATTTACCCTATCTGTCTTACTCATTCCCAACTACCTTCTTCCTTGTGATAGGGAAAGTTAAAGAGGATGAGACACACAAAGACTGAGTGTCCTTTCTGACTGCGCTGAAAAGTAGCATTTATAAAAGTTTATGCTATTTTTGAAGATCTTAAAATATATACCTTGTTGACAGTTTTCAAGAATGAAAAGCACACACACTGCCCACAGGTACATCACTTTCAGCACATACCAGAAAAAGTATTTTATTAACTTGAAATGTCATTGTAATTATGATAAGGAATTATAAATTCTTCATTTCTCAAAGGTAAATTAATTTAATTAGTTGAAGGAATGTCAAACTGTGTTTTATAATTGCATTCTGTAGACACAATACAATGTTAGGTAGAAAGAAAAGAACATATTAAAAACATTTTTACAAAGGCATCTTGGATATATGGTAGCTATTAGAACTCACTTTTTACTTCCTAACACAAAACATGTATTCAAAGAGCAATAATTAATTTCTATTGATACAGCTGATAATTTATACTTGCACTTTTAAAATTAGCTGTTTCCAAAGTGGATTGTAATAGTTCCTCATCCTGTGCCACAGCAGGGGGAAAGGTAGAAGAAGCGGGGCTAGTAGAACACAAATATCCCACTCACAGGAACACAACAACTCAGTGAGTGTAAGCATTATATGTCATGGACATGAACTTATAATAGCATCACCAGGAATGAAAGCAGGGAAGGGGGTCCAGAGGAGTCACGGGGGGGAGAGGAAGGGATTAAAAAACCCAGCTGCACTGTGTCCATGTGCCCACTCCCCAGGATGATGTGCACTGAATGCACCACAAACATCTAGCAACTGAAAATCAAGTCCCCCCAAAATGTTGGAGATTAATCTTGATGAAGCAAAAATATCACTTAAAAGTGTATATACGCATTATATTCCGGTTGCTCCAGTCTCATAAATAAAAAGACATTTAAAATTCAATAAAATAATGTGTAATGTCACTAGAATTTCCCCTCTATTTACCATATCTTCTTTTATCTTAATCACAGTTGTTGAAAATATAATGTACCAAATTTGTAGGAATTTTTGCTTGTTTCTTTTATTTGCTTGGTTGGTTTGGTTTTGTAAATGTTTCATTTCCCAGAATTCTTCTCAGTCAACATTGCCCACAGGATATAAGAGAAATATACTGAGAATTTCTCACAGATTGGTATTGTCTCTTTTTTCCTGTTTTTATTTCAAACATGGATGAAACATATAAGAGTTGTAGCAACTGTCTTTTGACTATGAGGCAAAAGTGCATAAAGATAAGAGCTCTACAAAGAATAGGGTAAAAAAATGAAAAACAGTTTTGATAATGATGTAAAGCTATAAGCTAATGCTTATACTATATATATCTAGATGTCACATCAGCAATTTAATGTATTTCAAAACAAATATTGCAACATTCAGGTTTCTGCTATTTACAATTTGGGCAAGTAGTTCAAAAAAAGTAAGTTAATCTTCATTGACTTTAAATGAAATATGATAACATAATGTAATAATAAAATAAAAAAAACCAAATCTGTACATTTATCTAATAGGTGATAAATTTTAAAATAACCATTATATACACAATTCAATGAAAATATATCCCTTCTATGAAGAAAAATTTGTTTCAAAGCAAAAGTTTTGAAAATAACTCATGTGCACAATGGAATGAAATGAAGAAAAAAGTATTCCAAAGATATAGTTTCAAGCATCCTTAAGAAAACTATTACCCAACATCATAAATTTTGTAAGTAGAGAAAAAGTACATTTGTAAATTTATGTACATAACAGAGTTTTCCATATATTTATAAAGTCCATGAATGAATCATTTTATAAATTCCATTAAGTTTAAAAGTTTCTTTTATAAAGTACACTTTACAAAATCTGTCTTTCACACTATGGTAGTACTTTCTTTATATTCCAGTTGAAAAAATTCTAAATTATTAATGGATAATGTCTCAAGTATAATTATAAAGTATTGAGAAATACTCATTTATCCTATGAAATTATCCCATTTCTTTAGTGTAAAGATAGATAAGATAATTTGGAATCAACTTAGTAACTAATAATTTTACTTTGCTAGCAAGGTTTATGAAACATGTAATTCAGAACTGTTCTCCTGTCCATAATATACTGAGGAGAGAACAGATTAGAAACAGCGTTAGTTAATCAACCAGCTGTGTTAAAAACAAGCAGAAATTTACTAGGATGAAAATGAGTTCTCAGTTGAAATTGGTAAGAATGAGTAAGCAATCAAAACGTGTTCCTACTCATTTAAATTATTTAAGTTACAGAAAAAGAGAAAAACATAAACCTCTTTATCAAATGAACAGAGGATAAATCTAGGACATCATCCCCGGGAGTTTTGTTTCAATGCTTCTTCAAATTCTTTTGTGCCAAATAAACCCTCACACATGGAATAAAGAAGCCAGTGCCTCTCCTCTCATCA